CTAACCCACTACTGTCGCTTCGTAGTTCAGATCTCTGCTGCCTCCAGTAACAGATCCACCCTGGAAGGCTGCAGATGAAGATCTGTTCTCCTGATGAAAGCAACACGAGAACCTATAAGAGACTTCAGCCAGAAACTGATTATCTCTTTTTGGCCCTTGAACACTTTATTTACTATATTTGCAAACACGTGTGGTGGTTGTTGTTGTAAGTGATGTACAGCAGGATATTCAGACATGGCGCTAAAGCTTGATTCCACATCACTCCTTCCTCCTCTGACTACTTCCTCTGTCCTTTCACCTGCAGCTGCTATCCGACAGGCACATGTTGCTGATTCACCAGCTTGCTGGAACCCAAACAGCGGCAGCAGCCCGTGGGGCCGAACTCGCCCCGCCGAGCTCTAAACACACAATAGAAAGTGCCAGCGTCATCACAGCTGGGCTTATCGGTGTGTCACCGCCTGCACCGGCAACAAAAAACTAAAAAAAAGAGAAGCGCACTGCAGAGGAAAGTACAAACTTTGGCTCAGGCCAAACGTGAAGATGACCAACATCTGGAAACATCTGGCTTTGCATCGACGTATCACACACAGAGTTGACAGCAACACAATCTGCCACAACACAGGAGTTCCTGCTGTCATTACTGTAAATTTATATTTATATACAGCAAAGAAACACTAACAGAGGAAATCTGTTTTTCAGTCCTTTTTATGAAACTAACAAGCTGGTTTCTCTGCTGGTTTTTCCCCTTTTTCAGCTCTAAAGAAAAACTACCAGCAACAAAACAACAAGAAGTCAGAATTTAAAAAAAATATATATTTGTTTTTGGATCCAGCTTTTTTCTCAAGCATAAGCCACATTTTTGTGTCAGAACTAACAGGAAAACACATGGATTTCTGTCAAATAAGGCAACACAGAGTCATTTCCTTTAGACACCCTCCCAAAAGAGTCTATTCTGGGCCTGGAAAAACTTTAACAGTCGGCCAAGGATGAGATAAAGAAAGATAATTTACAAACTGAAGGAGTGTAAAAAATAATAAATATAAGCCTTTAAATCTCCACATGAGCTGATCTCTAATGCAGGTTAATGTGCTGCAGATTTATGAGTTCTAAAGGGTTCATCAACCTCGTGAATGATCTGTGCGAACATATTTTTTCAGTTTTAAGTGACAAAAGTCAGTATTTCCCCTGAACAGCTTCCATTAAATGCCCTTTTATGAATCACAGCTTAAAGATATAATTTGCCTTTTAAATTCACAGACATACGCAGAGTTTAACTTGAAAAGGACAGAAAAGCATTTACACCGTTTATCTCAACTTGTTCCTGATCTAATCCCGCTTGTCAGGGAACCGAATGATTCAATCAGAGGAGATGAAATTAAAAAAGAACAAGACACAAGACAGAGGGAAAGAGGAAGTACCTGGAAATCTTCTCTTTATCTCCTAAAAGCCAAACATGTCCAGCGAGAGGAAAGACAAACAGATAGCGGCTCGTTGGCCAAAGCCCCTGAAAACAATGAGCTCTGCTGATATGGCCTATCCCACTAAGCAGAGTCGACTCACCTAGGCAACCCGGACCGTACCACTCCTCCCGCTAACGGGGGAGGACGGCCGGGCTGCGGCGGCTCTCGGGGCGACTCAACGACCTCTCGTTTTTTAAATCCCTCGTCTTACATCTGGGCCGGAGTTCGCTGCCCAAACCCCGTCGGACCGAGAGTTGTCTCGGCAGAAGCGGGTCGTTGGACGCCGCCGCCGGCCCGCCTTTCCCCGTCGTTGACTCGACCCGCTCGGCAAAGCTCTGAGCCCACGCCTGTGGCTTTGCAACTAGTAATTGGATTCGAGCTTTAAGACTCGGTTAGGAGACGAGTTATAATTCTGACGGGACACACGTAGTGAATTCTGACAGGAAGTCCTCCAGAAAACCTCAGAAACAAGTTGGAGCTGCACTGATTTATGTCTGAAGGCACCGAACGCACATGAAGCAAAACAATAATGAATAAAAGTCTCTTTGTGGCTGTTTTTCATCAGTATATAGATGTTTTTGTGGTCGTTTCTGGTGCATCTGTCGTCATGTCCGCTCTCTTTATGGACATTTTTGGTCAATTTGTGGTCGTTTCTAGAATATTTGTTGTCGTTTCTCATGAATTGTTGTTGTTTCAGTCTCTTCATGATCATTTCTAGTCACTCTGTGACCATCTTTGTCTTATTTTTTTAACTCAATCAGGTCATTTCAAGTCTATTTACTATTTGCTGGACATTTTTGGTCTCTCTGTAGCTGTTTCCTGTTGATTCTCAGTCTCTTTGTGGTTATTTTTGGTCTATTTGTGGTCATTTCTTGTCTGTTTATGGTAACTTTCAGTTTCTTTGGTCAGTTCTAGTCTCTTTATGTACGTTTTTAGTCTTTTTTCGGTCATTTTTGGTCAATTTGTTGTAGTTTCTAGTATATTTATAGTCATTTCTCGTTAACTGTTGTTATTTCAGTCTCTTCATTAACATTTCTAGTCATTTTCTGTCCTTTTTTAGTCTATTTTTCGTCATTTTCAATCTCATTCGGGTTATTTCGAGTCTATTTGCTATTTGCTAGTCATTTTTGGTCTCTTTCTGACTGTTTTCTGTCAGTTTGCAGTTATTCTCAGTCTGTTTTTTTCCTATTTGTAGTAATTCCTCCTCTGTCTACGGTAATTCTTTAGTTTTTTGTTGGTTCTAGTGCCTTTGTGGTCATTTATAATCTATTTCCTGTCGATGTTCATGTCTTTGTGATCATTTCTTCATTTCTTTGTGGCCATTTTTTTTGAGCATTTATTGTTATTTTCAATCTTATTCTGGTCATTTTGAGTCTATTTACTATTTTACATGAATTAGAAAGTTTGGAGCTTTTTGCAGCTTTGACCACTAGAATCAAATTAAACTGCTGCTGTTTGCTGACTTATTTGTTGTTGTTTGACTCATTTTCTTAACTGAATATAATTATTTACTGACTAATTGTTGGTGCATAAAATGTCAGAAAACAGGTGAAAAAAAAGTTTGTTTCTAAAGTAAAACTGTCTAAATCTACAGATACTTGGTGAGCAATGACATAAAACAGAGAAAAGCAGCAGATTTACGTGTTTTTCTGGATAAAAACTTACCAGAACATCAGCTTTCCACTTTGCTGTGAGGCCTGTTAGATGAAGCAGGTTAACTGGGCTAAAGAAATCCACATGAGTCCCGGAGTCCCGGCTTTCTGGTTGAACCGGGGACTCGAGGACTCGGGGACAGAGGGGGACTCCTCTCACTCTAATTTACGAGTCATTATCTGCGCTCGTTGGCTTGAGCTCAGCTGCCTCCACAATAAAACCTTTTGTTTCAGCCTGAGGAGCAAACAAGCCGCCAGAGGCCCACGAGTGGAGCTCCGGCCGGATCCCCGTCCGCCAGGCCGAGAGGTCGGAGGAAACACGGCGAGATTCAAGCGCTCTCAGGACACGGCAGCTGTTTCTAGTCTATCGAGTCGTTTTTAACGTACTCGTCGTCATTTTTAATCTCTCTTGTGGTCATTTCTGGTCCATTTGTGGTCATTTGTAGTTATTTTTAGTCTCTTTCTGACAGTTTATTGTCT